GCACCCGCACGCGGAACAATTGTACTGCCCCAGGACGAAATTAATAAACCACCCGCTACATTCTCGCAGAAACAACACAGCGATCCGCGCGCTTGATCCCACTGCGGTCCGGCGACGCCACGCGAACGCCCTCACAGAGAGAGAGAAGAGAGCAGAGGAGACAAGAGGAGGACGAGACCGACCGCACCGGAGCACGAGCACGCCGCACCGCCGACCGCCAGAGACGCACGACGACGAGAGACGAGCCCCCGACGAGACCCCGAAGCGAACACGCACGCTACGAGCAGCGACCCGCTCCTCGCGCCTCACTCCCCCATTCCAAACAATTTCTTCTCTCCTCTCTTTAGGGGATATCAACACACGCCTAAATCCTCCGCCGCCCCGCAGCCCGCTCCGAGGAGAGAGAAGAGAGGTAGATGTGGAGTGAAGATAGAACTGCTGTGTAGCAGAGGAGTTAGAGACGAAAGGGAGAGGGATTGATCGTCTGTTGAGTCATTTCAGAACTCGCATTTCATCAGAAGACAAGCGCGGAAAGAACATGATTTGGTATGTGATATGATAGAAGGAGGAGAAGGAGGAGGGGAGGAGAGGAGAAGGAAGAAGACGAAGGGACGGAGGAGCGAGGGGGAGGAGAAGGAAGGGGAGGGCAGGATAGGAGGAGGGTGAGGAGGGAGGGGGAGGAGGAGGGGGAGGAGCGAGGGAGGAGGAGGAGGAGGAGGAGGAGGATGGAGGAGGAGGTAGGAGGAGGATGGAGGAAGGAGGAGGTAGGAGGAAGGAGGAGGCTGCGAGGGGGAGGAGGGTGAGGGGGAGGAGGAGGAGGAGCACGGGAGGCGTGAGGGCGGACCGCGTGGGCGCATGGGGGCGGGGGAGGGGGGGAAGTGAGAGGTGGGAGGGCAGGGGATGACCGTGGCGGCGGGTGCGGAGGCGGTGCGGCGGCGTGGCGAGAGGTGTGGCAGGGGAGGAGGAGGTCGGGAGAGGAGGAGGAGGAAGGAGGGTTAGAGGCGGAGGGGAGGAAGGAGTGTGGAGGCTGTTACGAGGAGGATCAGTTGGCGGAGGGGGAGGAGGAGGAGGAGGAGGAGGTTCAGGGGAGGAGGAAGAGGAGAAGGAAGAAGAGAAGAAGAGGAGAGGAGGCAGGAAGAGGGAAGAGGATGAAAAGGAATAGAAAAAAAGATGAGGGAAGTGGAGAAGGAGGTGATGGAGGAGGAGAAGAAGAAGGAAGAAGGTAAGAAGAAGAAGAAGAAGGAAGTGAAGAAGAGGTGAAGAAGAAAAGAAGAAGAAGGAAAAGAGATAGGGAAGCAAAGAATGAAAGATACAGAAGAAGGACACTAAAGTAGGGGAGCCGGAAAGATATGACGGAAGAGGGAGGAGGGGGTAAGATGAATAGGAAAAAGAGGAACAGAGGAGAGGGAAGGCGCGGAAGAGGAGAAAAAGGTGGAGAAAGTAAGGAGACGAGACGAATTATGAAAAAGGGAGGGGAAGGGAAGCGTGAGGGGAGGGAAGGAGGGAGAGAGGGAGAGAGGGAGAGGTGGGGGGATAGGGAGAGAGGGAGAGAGGGGAAGAGAGAGAGAGAGGGAGGAGAGAGAGAGAGAGAGAGAGACGAGAGAGAGAGAGAGGAGAGAGGAGAGAGAGAGAGAGAGAGAGAGAGAGGAGAGAGAGAAGAGAGACTGAGAAGAGGAGAGAGAGATGAGAAGTACCGGCATAATAAATTATCGCAGTAGACGACGACAACTATAGGGTATGAACAAAGAATGACCAACAAAAAGGAGGGGAATCTTAACATCACACCCACCGAGGGCAGAAGATAAAAGATAACAATAACAAAAAAGAAAATCAGAAAAAAAATAAGAAGACAGAATAGACACAGAATGGGACACAAGAATCAACCAAAAAAAAAAATATCAATAGGTACTAATGACCGCCGAAGCAGATGGGAAGACCCCTGAAAAAAACAGATCGTAAACAAGACTCTGTCAACTGCAAAATGCAATAACAAGTAACTTGCAATGCAAAGCCAAATTGTGGCATCTTTTGACCGGGGACAGCATTCTGTTTTGTTGCGCAATACTGCATAAAGAATTAACTATAACATTATTGAAGGATCAATCCTTTCTCCCGCCTACGCCCCTCGCGCCGGCCCCGCCTCCCTAGACTGCCTGCTCGGACAAAAGTTCAAAACACCCAGAAGGTGTAAAGCTTTGAAAAAAAAAGAAGTCACAGGATAGAGCACCAGTATTAAAATGGCCACAGCTGATGTAGTGCATCTGTGTTGAGGGCTGGGCGTTTATTTGAGAAATGTTGTTTCTGACTTGAGTCTAGCGGGCCTTTTTGTGAAGCAGATAAAGCGGCGCCCGGTCTCTACTCGATCATTGGAGAATGCTGATTGCCCCTCAATTTGCATAATGAAACTGTTAAATATAGCTGAAAGCCTTGATGGAGAAACGTATGCAACGGAGGCTGGGAAGTTAAAACGGTGAATTCCGATGCAATAAGAGACATGGATTATCTTTTACAGAAACGGTTTATTTCTTTACAGGAAATATTACTTGTTATTTAATATTGATGAGGAATGTAATAAAATGAAGGAAGGAAGGAATAAGTAGATGAATAAATAAATAAAAAACAAACACAACACACATGTGCATGTGTGTGTGTGGTGTGTGTGTGTGTGTGGTGTGTGTGTGGTGTGTGTGTGTGGTGTATGTGCGTGTGGTGTGTGTGTGTGTGTGTGGTGTGTGTGTGTGTGTGTGTGTGTGTGTGTGTGTGCGTGTGTGGCGTGTGCGTGTGTGCGTGTGTGTGTGCGTGTGTGCGTGTTGTGCGCGCGCGTTCGATGTCATTAATCTGTTAACATTTTCATAACATTAATTGGTGTTATCCAAGACGATTAACTGTTGAAATATCATTGAAAATGTTGATACCTTGCACGTGGCGATAATATCTATATAAACTCTAATCTGTCCCTCTCATAATATCAGTCACAATTATCAAATTAAACTTTTATTGAAAGAAATAATGACCTTAAGATAGAAGGGGACAGAGGAACAAGGTCACAGCTG